ATACAGTCTTCGGACTTATGCAAACTCACACCCCGAAAATGCAGGAAATCGCATTTCAGGGACTCTAGATTTCAAAATATTCTGGGGGAGCATGCCCCCAGACCTCCTCTAAAATGGCTCACACCATTTACGCCGGCTACGCCACTATCTCTCTACTATCTTCTTTATATCAATGCTATAAAATTTTATTGTCTCCCCAAGACCATTCTTTTTATTTTTCGCCTATAAAATATATCCCCCCCATTATTTTACCAGCCCGCCCCCACCCCCGCCCAACCGATAAATAATGAACCCTAAGCATTTTATCTTTCCCTGTTGAAAACGTATTAACAGGTGTACAATTGACGTATTAAATTTGCAAAACACATAGGAGAACGGGGCTGATGTTTTCTGCGGGGGGAGTTGAAAGTTTGCCGAATTTTTATGGAGAATTGTAAAAAAATAACCTGATTTTAACATATTTTCTCATAAATCTGCTCGAATTTTCTTGATTTTTCCTAGCGTTTGCCCGAATTTCCATGGTTTTCCAAAATTTTGGGGGGCAGTTGCCCCCCCCCCTGTCTCGTACGCCTATGTCAATAAGGCATTTACAACATGAACATAATACGAAGCCAAAGTGAAAGTGTGAAAGTGAAAGAAACTTTAAAGAAAGCGTGCTAATTCTCGTATTTTACTCGTATGTACTCGTATTTTACTCGTATGTACTCGTATTTACTCGTATGTTACTCGTGTGTACTCGTATGTTACTCGTGTGTACTCGTATGTTACTCGTGTGTACTTGTATGTTACTCGTGTGTTACTCGTATGTACTCGTATGTTACTCGTATGTACTCGTATGTTACTCGTATGTACTCGTATGTACTTGTGTGTTACTCGTATGTTACTCGTATGTACTCGTGTGGTGTTTTAGTCACGATCCAAATAAATCACCACATCTAGAAAGAGCATACTAAAATTAGTAAAATAACAAAGTTTGGTTGCGAAATGTTGTAAAATGAGGAAAATGTAGCCTTGCAAAGTTCGCAAATTTTATATACTTTTGTATTGTTTGCGGAAATTCCTACCACATTTGGGCCGAAAATATCGCACGCAATACAAAAGTATACAAAATTTGCAAACTTTGCAAGGCTATATTTTCCACATTTTTACAACATTTCCCAACCAAATTTTGTCATCTTACTAATTTTAGAATGCTCTTTCTAGCTGTGGTGATTTATTTGCATCTCCTTGCCTAGTTTTAAAATTAGTCTATAATGGGAATTGTCTATTGTAATGTTATTGTCCTGAAATTTTTTTTACCAAAAAAGTTGTCGACTGGGGGGGAGGGGGGGGAGGGGGGGAATTTAAAATGTTGTGGTCCGGAAATTTTTTTGGCCCCAGCTGGGTTTTTGCTGGGCCCCCCCTGACCAAAAATCCTGGCTACGCCTCTGAGTGTAGATTTTCAAATTTTGTTGCCATGCATTTTAGAAAAACCTGAAGATGTCAAATCTAATCAAAATTCCAGCATTCAGACATCTCAGTCCCCTTTGTCTTTGATATTAAGCGATGAAATGAACGATGAAGTATGCAGCTACTGTATCGAACGGTTCAGGTTTATATTAACATTATAAATGATAGTAATGACGTAGAGACAACGCGCCAATCAGAAGCTAGTGTGGCACGCCCACAACCCGCCTTCTTTTTAGAGTTCACGCCTCCAGACATGGCGAAAATATAACAAAGCTAGCGCCAGTGCCGAACCGGCTGTTTTATTGTGATATGTGTTTAAATGTTATTAAATATATAGTAAAATTGAACGTTGTTAACATGGCGCCCAACGTGGGGCGCTAGCTTTGACGAAAGATCGAATTAAAATCGAAAATATCGGAGTTGTTTACGCGAGAATATGAGCGAGCCGAACAAAGATTTGAAAAGGATACGAGCTATTCGCTCGGGAAATCGGGGAGTTGTTACGAGATACAGCAAAGAAGCGATCGAGCTGTTAGATCAGGGGGAGTGAAACGAATAAGGATCGACTACGAACAATAGCGAATTTGTTAAACGAGAAAATAATACGACTTAAAGAGCTCGATGCTCAAGTGCTAGAGTTATGCGAAATCGACGATATCGAACGAGAAATCGAAGAAACGGAAGAAATGTTTTCGAGAGCAAGCGATGTAAGTAGTAGAATCGAGAAATTTACGAGTGCGACGGGCAAGGTAATCGATAAACCTGGGCCAACGACTTCTAAAACAAGCGAAATAAACACTGATGTTGTCTCCAACGAGGGGACAAGTCAATCGAACGACGAGCAACTACAAGTGGAAACATCGAGCAACCATGAATCGAACCAAGTGGAAACATCGAACAGTCATGGTTCGAACCAAGTGGAAACATCGAACAATCATGAAGCGAACCAAGTGGAAGCATCATCAAATACCATCAACGCATCAACGGTACAATCTGTGTTACAACCCGGATCGACAGTGCACTACGCACCTGCAATTAAGCTACCCAAGTTGGTACTACCGAAATTCAAAGGAGGTATTACAAACTATCGAACTTTTTGGGAAAGTTTCCAGAGCGCTGTACACCGAAATTCGTATTTAACAAACATTGACAAGTTTAACTATCTTTTGTCATTGTTAGAGGGAAATGCGCTTCGAGCAATAAAGGGACTGGCAGTTACAGCGGATAACTACCAATCGGCTATTGATATATTACAGGAGAGATTCGGGAAATCGCAACAAATCATAGCAGCCCATATGGACGAACTTTTGAAGTTAGCTCCATGTGTTGGGGAGAAATCATCGCAATTGCGGTTTGTATATGACAAAGTAAGTGTCAACGTTAGAGGATTAGAAGCTCTTGGTGTGAAACCGGATCAGTACGGGAGTTTACTAATTCCAGTTATTATGTCCAAGATACCTGGGGACGTTCGACTTGAAATCGCTAGAAAATCGGATAAAGAGGTATGGGAGATAAAGGAGTTATTAGAGATAATACGAAAGGAAGTGGAAGCTCGTGAATTAAGTGATCATGTAAGGGCCGACAGCGAGAAGAAGGTAAAACCACCACCTCGTTTTCCATCTACGACTACCTCGCTAGCAGCTCAAGGGAGGGATAGTAAACCGTATGGTGCGATCAGATGTGCCTACTGTGGGAATCTGCATTATTCAGCTTCGTGTGAATCGAAAGTGAAACCCAGTGAGCGAAAGGAAATTTTGAGGCGAGACAATCGTTGTTTCGTGTGCTTACAAGTCGGTCACCGTGCCAACCAATGTCATCCGTCGAAAAGGTGTCGTCGATGCGAAGGGCGACATCACCAATCAATTTGCGAAAAGGTTGTGGCAAAATTCCCAAACGCTGGTGGAAAAGATAAGGATTATAAGGACGGTGATTCAAAATCGACAACTAAAGAAGAGCAGCCCGAAACAAGTGCAAGCAAAGGCGCAACCATTACTGCATGTCAAAATTCGACAACTGCAGCAACTCGATCGAAATGTAAAGTTTTCTTGCAAACTGCGACCGCGTATGCTTACTCGAAAGTGGAAGATGCTTTAATTCCTGTACGTGTCTTGATGGACAGCGAAAGCCAGCGATCGTATGTGACAGAGTCGTTGAAGGAAAAGCTAGGTCTTAGCTCGGAAAAAACTGAAGTTTTGAACTTGAATACATTCGGAGATGATAGATTTGTTAAACAACGATGCGATCGAGTTCGTGTAGAATTGCAAGGGAAATCGAAAGACGTTGAAATCGCAGCACTCTGTTATCCTAAGATTTGCTCGCCCCTTTTGACAACGCTTGACCTTGACCGACATACACACCTGCAAGGGTTGGATCTGGCTGATGAAAGTCTGCTTAACGACAGTGATTCGGCACAGAATATCGACATCTTAATTGGTTCCGACTACTATTTCGACATAATTACGGGTGAGATACAGCGGGGAGACGGGGGCCCTGTGGCAGTTAATAGCGAATTCGGATGGATGGTCTCCGGCAGTGGTTATGCAAAGACACCTGGAAAGAATGCAACTATCACGCAACTCATTGTTCAGAAAACGGATTCTGCGCTGATGTTCGATCCAGTGGAAAGTGTTGGAGACGAAGGTTTGATCCGCGCTGTTCAAAGGTTTTGGGACACAGAATCGCTTGGCATCTTCGAGCCAAACCCGTCGCTGGAGAAGGAATTTTTGAGAGATTCAAATTTCAACAAGAACCAGGGTCGATATCAAGTGAGCCTTCCCTGGAAGGATGATCGTATGCCCACAACAAATGGATATTTTCCATGTTTGAAACGACTACGACAACTGCATTCACGCTTGAGAACTGATCAAGAGCTGCTTGAACAGTACGATGAAGTCATACAAGAGCAAATAAAGTCAGGTATAATCGAGAAAGTCCCTGGATGTTCGGCAAGCGATGAAGCAACGCATTTTCTACCTCATCACGGCGTGATTCGAGAAGATAAGGCGACTACGAAGGTTCGAGTAGTTTTCGACAGGTCAGCGAAGCACGGTTCATCGAATTTGTCCCTCAACGACTGCCTGGAAAAGGGACCGAACTTAGTTCCCCACCTATTTGACGTCGTTGTAAAGTTCAGGGGTTACCCTGTAGGAATCGTGGCCGATGTGGAAAAGGCGTTCCACCAGATTGAGATAAATCCAGATGACCGGCGAATGTTGCGCTTCGTGTGGTTCGACGATATACACAAGGAACATCCAGACATTGTTGAATATCAGTTTTGTCGCCTAGTATTTGGGTTGACCCCAAGCCCAGCTATTTTAAATTCGGTTATACAAAGTCATTTGGAATCGCAAAAAACGAAAGAACCCGAAGTCGTTGCATTGTTGCAAGAGTCGTTCTACGTGGATGATTTGGTTGGAGGTGCGATGGAAGATGACCAGGCTTTAGAAATCTACGAAAAAGCAAACGACATCATGAACTCTGGCGGATTTAAATTGCGAAAATGGAATTCCAACTCGACAATTCTTCGGACGAAAGTCGCCGGCGAACTGAAGTGCAGTAAAGTCGACGAAACCGTATTAACTGAAGTGAAACCCCTCGAGAGTAAGCAAGACGTGTTTACCAACTCGACAGAAAAGGAAAACCGAACTGAGAGAGATTCAAACGAAGCGAATGACGACATTTTGTCCGCGCGATCCGAAGCTGATGACGATCCCAAACCAGAATGTTCTATAAAAATTCTAGGACTGAATTGGAATATCAACACTGATGAAATTCACTATGACCTAACTGCATTGGTGAACTTTGCGGCAACACTTAATCCTACGAAGCGATCAGTGCTACGACTCACGGCTAAAGTGTTTGATCCACTTGGATTCCTTACCCCATTTACGATCTGTATGAAAGTTTTGTTCCAAACTCTGTGTGTTCATGGCGTTAATTGGGATGACGTGTTAGACGGAGAAGAGTTAGCGGCATGGAAAAGATTTATCGTAGACCTCTCAGCATTGAACGACATTCGAATACCTCGATGTTACTTCCGAAGAACCAAAGAGAAACCGACAGGTCACCAGCTTCACGGGTTTAGTGACGCCTCATCGAAGGCCTACGCAGCCGTAGTGTATTTGCGAACAGTTCATCATAACGGAGAGATTGAAGTAAATCTTGTGGCCTCCAAAACGAGAGTGGCTCCGATAAAAAAACAATCCATACCACGACTAGAATTACTGGGTGCAACTATCCTAGCTCGATTGATGAACTCTGTCCAGAAAGGGCTAACGTCATTGAACACGACTCCTGAAGTATTTTGTTGGACTGATTCTTACACAGTTTTGTGTTGGATCAGAAACGAGAAAGTTTGGAAAGCTTACGTCAATCACCGTGTCCAAGAGATACGGGACCTTGTCGAGAAAGAATCCTGGAGATTCTGCCCAGGCGAACAAAACCCCGCAGATTTGCCATCTCGAGGAAGTCGCGGAATTGAGTTAACGAAGAATACGACGTGGTGGAACGGTCCAGAGTTTATTCGAAGCACCGAGGAGGCTTGGCCGAGTGAACCAGGACCTACGAAGAGTGACGAACTGAGCGCGTTCGCAGAAATCACGAAGCCCAAGATTGAACCAACGATAACGAGAGCTTTAGCCAATGTTACGATCACCCCACCTAACGTAGAAGCCATCATGGATTGCAACCGGTACAGTACCAAAGAGCAACTTTTACGAGTAACAGCGTTATTAAAGAGATTCGGTGACAAAACGAGGAGACAGCCAGTGCCAATTGAAGTAACTGCGAATGAACTAAGAGCAGCTGAAAAACTTTGGGTGAATACCATACAGGCAAGCAATTTCGAAGACGAAAGGTCATATCTCCAAGGAGTTTCGAAGAAAGAACCGCTGCTCGTAAGACAGTTGGATTTATTCTTGGACGAAGAAGGTACGATTCGATGCCAAGGTCGAATAGATAAATCATCATTACCCATGACGACAAAGCGGCCAATACTTCTTCCTGCACGACATTTCTATACGCAACTTGTAATTCACAACTGTCACGAAGTCGTCCATCACAACGGTGTCAAAGAAACATTGAACTGCATTCGCGAAGTATATTGGATTCCAAGAGGTCGAGAAGCCGTTAAACGTGTAATTGGAGTATGTGTTACATGTAGAAAACACGAAGGGAAGCCATACGGTTCACCAAAGTTCGCCCAGCTACCATCATGTAGAGTAAGCGATGATCCACCTTTTGCTCACACCGGCATGGACTTCGCTGGACCACTATATTTAACGACCGAAGGTGAAGATGATAAAGAACGAAAGTTGCAAAAGGCGTACATTTGTCTCTATACCTGCGCGTCAACAAGAGCGTTACACCTTGAACTTGTGCCAAATTTATCAGTGTCTACATTCTTACAATCATTTAGAAGATTCACCGCTGGAAGAGGATTACCGACAAAGTTACTATCGGATAACGCGAAAACGTTTAAAGCGGCTGCAAAAGAAGTCAAGGGAATTACGAGATCTATGGAAGTTCAGCGGTATTTGGCGAACAAAGGAATCACGTGGGAGTTCATCGTGGAAAAGGCACCCTGGCAAGGGGGTTTCTGGGAAAGAATGGTGAAATGTGTCAAACGCTGTCTGAAAAAGGCGGTGGGTCGAGCATCATTATCGTTTGAAGAAATGCGCACATTATTGATTGAGATTGAAGCTACGCTGAACAATCGACCTATGACTTACGTATACGATGATGAAGAAGGCGTGTCTTATCCGTTAACACCTGCATCGTTGATCTATGGTCGAAACATCGCTACAACGCCAAACGATAAGCAATTCGAAGTGATCAGTACAAATCAATCCCTAACTCGACGGCAGAAGTATCACAAAAGGCTTTTAAACCAGTTTGCGAAGCAATGGAGAACGGAGTATCTCACTAGTTTAAGAGAGTCATCAAGGTCAAAGGTTTCGTCGGATGCGGCTCGTAAGCTGGCGATAGAAGAAGGAGAGATCGTAGTTTTAAAGAACGACAAGTCATCACGATCATTTTGGAAGGTAGCTAGGGTGGAGGAATTACTCCCCAGTAAAGACGGTGTTATTAGAGCGGCAAAGGTACGCGTAGTTAATCAAGAGAATGGAAAATCAACATGGTTACGAAGACCCATACAACACCTTGTTCCTCTAGAAATACGGTCGAGTTGCAAACAGAAGAACGAAACGCACGCGAGGGATCCTACGACGGAAGAGACGAAAGAGGATGCCTCTTCAAAGGAACCGCTGAAGGCGAACGCAAGGAGTACAGTTGTTACTAAATACTTCCTACGAAGTCAGAACAATCGTAAAGATACTGTGTGACACACTAACGTGATTTAAGTTTATTAATAGTTATATTAGTACAAACATTAACCCTCGGGAGTGTATCGAACGGTTCAGGTTTATATTAACATTATAAATTATAGTAATGACGTAGAGACAACGCGCCAATCAGAAGCTAGTGTGGCACGCCCACAACCCGCCTTCTTGTTAGAGCTCACGCCTCCAGACATGGCGAAAATATAACAAAGCTAGCGCCAGTGCCGAACCGGCTGTTTTATTGTGATATGTGTTTAAATGTTATTAAAAATATAGTAAAATTGAACGTTGTTTACAGCTACTGCTTAAAAAATGTAGCGAACTATTTCGCTATTTCGCTATTCTATATTTTTAGTTTTACGGTATTTGGAGCATCCACTAAGCACTTTAATTAATAACGGTCTTACCGAGACGACTAGCAAGAACTGCGGCTTGTAGTTCTAATCGGGGAATTCTTAGTTCCTTTAACGGGGCTGCTCGTGATCTTGCAGCGACTTTTAAATTAGAAACAGCAGAATTTTAAATTATTTGCCTATTTGTAAAATAGTATAGAATAAACGAATTCTTTGCTGTTTAATTTTGACTGTTTAAGCAGCAATATTTTAGCTGTTTACTGATTACAGCTATACCCCATTGCCACCCTAGCTCGTATATGATTTGCATATGATAAACAACTTCATTCAAAATCCATCAGGAAATTGCACCCAACTCGACGTATCCTGCCCTGAACAGCTTCATTAATACATTTTTGGAGATCCTTGGTGGCAGCGATAAAAACATTAAAATTATTGACCTGGGAGCTGGTACTGGCTATGTTGCTATCGAGCTAAAGAAACATGGCTTCACCAATATCGATGGCTTGGATTTGTCTTCGGAAATGTTAAAGAAAGCCAAGGAAAAAGACGCATATCGAAATTATATCTGTGAAGCTATAACAGAGAAACGGCTAGATATACCTACCGGAGCTTATGATGTTGTCTTGAGTCTTGGGACTGTGACGTCTGGTTATATAAAAGCAAGTGCATTTGATGAAATCTTGCGTTTAGCAAAGCCAGGTTAGTTTAAAATCGTGGGCAGGGGCGTTGCTCTGAAACAAGCCACAATACGTGGGAGCTTAATCGGCGTGTTTCATTAAGTGCATGGGGCATGCAGTGAAGCAAATGCATGGTGTTCAACTCTAAAAGGAAACACAGAGACGTGTGAATTTCCTTGGCTTTTGGTAGTGAATACTGTATTGAAATGAAAATATTTAGCATTTTTCATCTCCCCGCCGGTCATAAGTGTCGATACATTTGTACCTGACGATCATGCGTGGCACTGGCACCATGCAAAATACTTTAAAAAGTTATGTAATTATAATTGGTAAAAATTCTCAGCTGAACAGTAATTATTAGTATATATATACAAATACAAATAATTAAAAATTAACTTTCATTTTATTTTATTTTATTTTTCTTCTAAAATTTGAAGTACTATTTAAAACAAGAGCAGGAGTGCTTTATCAGATATAAAACTCGAGGCGACAGCCGAGAGTTTTATATCTGATAAAGCACGGACTGCTCATGTTTTAAATGGCTTAAACAACGACCTATCTTATGAGTTTATTAGCGAAGTAATTTTAAAAATAAACGTTATTTATAGTCGAGAAAATCAAAGCTAAAGTTTACATGATTTTTTATCACATATAAAACCGTGCACCAACATGGTAGTGATTTCCTTTCTTTTCTTTATGAATTATTAATGAGCTTTTACTGTAAATATCGTATAAAAATTTTACGTTTGAACAATATTAGCCTGATGACTGACAGTCAAACTGTCAAAAGCTTTGGCGTTGCAGAAATAATACAATCTTGACGAACTGGTTGAACGGCTGACTGGTTGACTGACCGACTGATCCAAATGCTCATAAGATATACCAGCGCAGTGATGGTGATGCACCGTGGAGAAAACGGTCATCGACTATGTATCAAGGCTGGGAAAAATAAAAAACCGTTCATGACTATAAAGGTCGCTATATACTGTGCATGGAGTGCCGATGGTGCGAAACACTAGAGAGCTGGACTGCACAGCCATATAACAATACAACTTAAGCCGGTTTTCCACTTCAAACGTACCGTACCGAAACGTATCAAAAACGTTTTTAAATTTCAAAATTCCGTGAATGTTGATTGGTTAGTACTTCCGTAGTTAGCCAAAAAGTTGACTTGTGACGAACTTTTTATTTTGATACTCGAATACACCCGGAAGTACGTGGATTTATAAACCTCTTTTTTCAATCTGCGCATGCTCACCAGTACGTTTCGGTACGATACGGGCGAAGTGGAAAACCGACTTTAGGTCTAGTTCAATTAGACGTCGCACTTATGACGTGCCGAACCTAATGTAAATGGTGCAACACCTATGCTAGCATGAAATGGCTATGTAAAGGTGCTATGTAAAGGTGCAACACCTATGCATGATATGGCTATAAACTCATTATTTGAGCTCTTTTGTATTACTATGTATTAGGTTAATATACAGGGTGTATAAAAAAAAGCGCAATCCTCGACTGAAATGTAAATTGCTAAACAAATAATAGACGAAAACGTTAAAGTTTACATTCATTTTAAAGCGAGCCATTCAGCTTTCTAACAGTGAGTTGTTTCTTAAATTTGCCTCATTGGTTCGCGGGTAATAATACTTTACGTTATTGCGATTGGAGATTAAAAAAATTGAGATGGAATAACAAATCGTTCTCATGAAAATAACTGATTTTTCATTAAAACAAAAAAATGTTGCATTTTATTAAATGGA